CTCTCTCCGGCCTTCCCCTCCACTCTCTCTAAAAATCGATGGAAAAATGTCCTCCAGTGAGGACTCACAGAAAACAAAAGAGCTTTTAAAAAGCCAGTGCAAACCGCAGTTTAGCTTGAGACGGAAAGACCCTGGTGGGAGCCAGGAGGCATGGCTCGTCCTGGAAGGATGAGTGGCTGCCGAGCCCACACCCAGGACGCCGTCCTGTCTGCTCCGCAGGATGGGTGGCCTTGGGAGGTGATGCGGGCGGCTCAGCAGGGGTTCCGGCGCTAATTAGGAAAGAGAGGCCGCCGCCCACCGCCCCACCACAAACAGAAACCACCCCTCAGTTTAGGAGCAAAGGGAAGCTAAGAGAGCCCGCTGTTTCCCTAATTCCCAACTTGAGAAGCAGAAGGAATTCCATAGGAAATCCTTAGAGGAAGAAGGTTGAGCAGTGGGAGGCCCTGCCAAGGGAAGGAAAGCAAAGGTCAGAAATCCGGGAATAAAGCGGGAGAACTTTAAACAAATAGAAAAGTAACGTCATCTTTTCAAAAACGTATTTTTATTGATTTCAGAGAGGAAGGGAGGGGGGGAGAGAGAGACCTTTATGAAAGAGAAGCATCAATTGGCTGCTCCTGCTCGCCTTACCCTGGGGACCGAGCCTGCAACCCGGGCCTGTGCCCTGACTGGGACTTGAACCTGACCTCCTGGTTCCTAGGTCGACGCTCAGCCCCTGAGCTGCCCGGGCCGGGCTCACTGAACCTTTACGGTTCCTCAGAGTCCCCGTCTCCAGACGCAGCCACGGGCTCGGGTCCCAGCACAGGAGTGGCGAGGACACGCGGTTCTGCGGTGGCCTCCCCGAGCAGTTGTCGAGGAGCAGTTACTTCAGTGCTGTGCCCCAGATACACGCGTGCCAGCTGCTGTCTGCGGTGCCGTGGAGGGCAGAGCCACGTGCCAGCAGGAAATGGCATGGCCTGTGGGAGAGGCCTGACCAGCGCACACCAGGCAGCCGGCTCCCCGGCCAGCTGGGTGCCAGGGCACAGATAATTGGATAATCAAGTGCCCACACGCCCCGCCTAACGGAAGAGCCACGTCGGCAAAAGCAGCCGCGAACGTGGCGAACTGCTCAGCGAAGTCCGCCTCCCCCACCGCAGGGTCTGCGTCCAGCGGGCACCGGGCACTCATCGCGGAGCAGCACCTCCAGCGCTGACGGCGGCCCTCACCGGCAGCACCGAGGGGCGAGATGAAAGGCCGTCTCTGTACAGGAGGTGGAGGGTGCCGGTCTGCAGGCGCGGGACCGTCCGTCCCCGTGGAGCCTGGAGGAGGAAGCAGTGGGTTCATGTTCGAGGGCCGAGAACTGAGGCGTGTGCAGGGCCAGGCAAGGGAGAGCTTTCACTTGTACAGTCGCTATCTCAGTGGTTCTCAACCTTCTGGCCCTTTAAAGACAGCTCCTCATGTTGTGACCCAACCGTAACATTGTTTTCGTTGCTACTTCATCACTGTCATGTTGCTACTGTGATGAATCGTCATGTAAATGTCTGATGTGCAGGATGGTCTTGGGCGACCCCTGGGAAAGGGTTGTTCGACCGCCAAAGGGGTCGCGACCCACAGGTTGAGAACCGCTGCGCTATCTTCTGAGAAAAACAGCTGACAGAGCCAGTAA